TATATATATATATATAGGGGTCTCCAGTGGCCAAGTGGTTAGTGAGACCAAGCCCGATAAGTGTAGGCTTCGGCTGCCTCCCAGGTGAAATTCAAAAGTTCCTACCAACTGAAAATGTTTGGTACGTCCCGCGCGCTTATACGACCTTATGCAGTTGCGAGCACCGTAAAACACTTACCAAAAAAAAGACTTAGAATTACAAAGTTCTCTCTGACATTCTTGGCCGTTTCTTGAGTCAGTAAGACCATGAGATCAGAGACCATGCTCTATCTGTTCTAATAAAATTGTACGAATATTCTATGTCGTTTTCAAAATATTCAAAGAATTGCATTTGAAAAAACTTGACAGGTTGGGAAACTCAAACATAATTTACGTGAAATTTCTCAAAACTAGATACTGCGCAGATAGAATTTTGTAATTCTAGGGTAGTGATCTATGTACCGAATTTATGTATGCATGATGTACATTGCGCCATTGTAAAGCCTTGAAAAAACCATCACATCGAAAAATCGAAGTTCCTCCCCTTGATCTACAAAAAAGTATTACCTCATTGTATTTGTTAATTGAATATCATATACGTATCGTCAGTTTTACGCAGACATTTACAACACCTTTGCCGTATTCGACGAGAGACACCCATTTGTGAAGGTCAAGTTGATCGTTTTCCCAATATCTGCTGACACATCGAAATCTCCCGAGGCTGGAAATAGACAGGAACCACGTTTAACAACAAAACATTACCAAGCGCCTGCCGATAATAATAATAATTAATAATAATGATAATAATAATAATAATAATAATAATAATAATAATTAATAATTAATAACAATAATAATAATGCAATAATAATAATGTACTAGATGACACTCACTTTGAAGGCTCTCTCTAGCAACATAACAGAGTGTCACATCATTCTTATGTTTAACTCAAGGGTTGCGCGAGTTGTTAATATGCGGGCGTTAGCAAGAAATAGGAACACTTTGTATGTTGTATTGTTTAAACACTCACCCACACACACACACACACACACACACACACACACACACGATCATAGATATGTGTGTGTGTGTGTGTGTGTGTA